TTATTATGCTTCTTGTTTGGCTTGTATTCTTTTTATTTTCGAAGCTTGAGATTTGAATGAGTTTTTGGTGAGGTATGAGGGATTCAATGGAGAGTTCTAATTTGGATCAGAAGATGGGGAGGAAAAATGAAGATCTTGTTCATCGAAAGATAGTTGTGGTTGCAGTTAAAGCTTCGCAAGATGTCCATAGGACTGCATTGGTGTGGGCTCTGACTCATGTTGTTCAGCCTTGTGATCAAATAACTCTTCTGGTTCTGGTTTCATCACGCAGTTCAGGTTTTAATTCTTCTGAAACCTTTGTTTTTGCTTTTTCTCGAAGTGAAGCTATTTGTTTACTGCACTATTAGCACTGAGAAAGGGATCCTTTAGCTTAGATTTGGTGTGTGGTGCCTTCTTGGATTGTCCTTCAATGCTATATTTTCTTTTTTATGGAAAAAATCCTGACTTTTGGATGAATTCCGGTGTGCAAGCTGTAAAGATGAGTTCTTTTTGGTTTTTGTAATCATCCACAACTGAAGTGGAAACTATGTTATTTTCTAACGCCCTTTGCGGGATTAATCGACAGATACTAATAATATTTTCTCAAAATTGTTTTTTTTTACTTTCAATGTCAGCTGAAAAATATTGGCTTTTGTATGACGATTGCATAAATATCCTACAGTGGGACTTTATTTTACTTTTCTTGTTAATAAGACTTTATGTGTTCTAATTTTTAGTTTATATCATGCCCAGCTGGTTTTTCATTCTGGTTGTTAATTTGTTGCCATTTAAACGATTAATAATTTGTCATATCTTCATCATTTAGGTAGAAGGCATTGGGGGTTTCCTAGACGGTTTCTTGTGAAGTAGGATAGTTTCTTGTGAAGTAAATTGTACCACATTGCATGATACAATTCATTATTATGTAATTGAATTATTGAAATGTTTTTGAATTATTGGATGTAATTAGACATTGAATAATTATATTGAAGTTCATTATTATTGTTTTTTTTAGTTTGAGAAGTAATTTTTATTTCTTATATATTTTATAAAGATGCATTTTAATTTTTAAAAGATAAATTGATGCATTTCAATTTTTAATTTTTAAAGGATATGAGAACTAATTTTTAAGTTGTTGTCTATTTAACAAATGCAAAAATATATACAATTTTGAAAATTTTCAAAAATTTCGAACATCTCGAACAATTCGAACAATTCGAACAATTCGAACATTTCCGAACCGAACACGAACCGACCATTCATGAACAATTTCGAACACGAGCCTATTTCAAACAAACTATATTTCAAACGAACCGAACACGAACGCGACCGCTGTTCGTTCGTGTTCCGATTCATCATGAAAGGAGATTTATTTGCTTCTTTTTCTTTTCTAGAAATTTGTTGCTACAATTTTGGGGTGAAATAGGAGTGTTTGGTCCTTATTCTAACCTCGCACCATAAATACAGAAGGTTAGAAGGTTTACATACATAGCACCCTATTCCTGTGTGCTTACATATCCAACATCTAAACTTCAATTTTTACATACATGCCGTCTTACCTATGCATAAAAGGGTATATTTCATTTTAAATAGTCAATGTAGTGATATTTTTAACATCCAAAATGATTATTCATTGTGAGGTTTCTCATTTGGGTGAATTTTTGTTCAAAAATTATTTTGGTGGACGTTAACCCAAATAAAACAAGGGGAATTTACATACATGCCACCCAATTCCTATTTATATGCATGCCTATCTCCTAAATTTTATTTTTTACATTTATACCATCCAAATCTTTTATATAACATGTTGGTGTCAATAATAATAAGCCTATTAGTTGTAATGTTTCTTTGATATTCGCTTGCTTTGGCACGAAGCAGCTTGGAAGGCACATGGATCTTGTGTGTAACCGTTGCGCCATTGCTGCCATGAAGAAAAATTTATGGAACTTTTTGTGGAACAAAATCAAATGTCATGTATTTTATCCCTTTTTGATGTTCTATATGACTTGAGTAGTTTAATATGAACCATCTCATTGATGCATTATGGTTGCAATTTGAAGTTCTCAGAAAAGAAGAAAGTTATGATTTGCTGTGCGAGTAAGAAATGGACATTTGATAGTTTTTGAAGTTAATTTAAATGCCCTTAAAAATTAATATGACGTGCACCATCTCATTTCTAAATAAACCTGTGCTAGGTGTTGGCTTCTTTTAGCGAAACAGCTTTATTATTTCTATCTTAGAGAAAATTCACTGATTATAAGTCATCATGATGTTTGTTGCACAATTTTTTTTTGTACTACTTTCTTCCTCCCTTATCATATCAACAATTGCATTCAATCCAAGGTGTCTTCACTATAAATACGGACGATTTCTGCATCTCCCATTTTCTCTCTCATTTTGTTGACTGGGTGATGATTCTATTATGAAAGATAATCTTGCCAACTTCTGGTTGAGCAGAATTTCATTAGAAGCTGATTGCCTGATTCAGTATTTTCTTCTATTCTCGTCCAATGGACATGGAGTAGCTTGGATGGCCTGTGCATTTGAGGGTAACCGCTACTTATTGTCCTTGATAGAGAATTGGCATACATACATACATACATATATTTATGTGTGTTGTGACGTGTACTTCGGCCTGTTGGTTGGCAGATCCCTTAGGTCTGGGGTTCGAATCCCCCTCGGACGACGAGAGCCTCAGGGAGGGCGGTACTAGAATTTTTAGACACATTAGGAGTGGCTAGAGTTTCGTATAATAGCCTCCTGACCTTTCCTTTTAAAAAAAAAAAAAATCTTTTTGTTATGTGATTGAACTGTGATTGAACTGAGCAGCTAGAACAATCCATGCATCTTTGGGCAATCGCCGCATCAAAGTGCCATGGTAACTCTTAAATGGGTGGATCTTCTTTGGGCTGGAATATGCAAAAATTTGCCTTAGATTTTTCCGTCTCTCACCCCTTTTAGTGTTCAATTAGGTTAACTGTGTTGAGAAGTTATCATGCTAGTTGCTCTTCCATGATGTCTTCGAATGATAGTCCGTATTTTCTCCCCTATTTTATGTGAAGTTTTTTTTTTTCTAATCCAAGAGAAGGAAGGGAATTAGGGGCTGTTTGGTAGCAAGATTTAGCCTAAATCCTGCTAAATACCAAAAATGATGAAAAAATTTTGTTTTAGGGTTCCTTTGTGTAAGCTTTTTCAATGGCTTTTTAGCACTTTTATAAACTGTCGGACTAAAATGGCTCCTTTTAAATAGTTAGGGGGCTAGTTTGACACTTTATTCTCTCCCCTTCTCTCTCTCTCTCTGTATGTATGTATATATGTGCACGCACGCGCTCTCACACACATTAGTTCTTATTTATTTACCTATCTAACCCCTAAACTTTGATTTTTATTTTGGCAATAAAGATTTGAAATCTTATATGTTGTGTCTTGACTATTACGAGAGCTTGGACTACCCGTGCCTATTAGTGCGTGTGTGAGGATACCATTTATTCCACTAAGTTCTTAATGTTATTCCGTGTTCACCATTTTATTCTGTGAAAGGCTTTTGCAGATTCAAAAGAAGTGAAAAGAAAAAAATGGAAGATGCAGATGCAGATGCATGCCAGTTAATTTTTATATATTTATAACACCTAAATTTCAATATTTATGTTGGCCTGGAATATAAAGTCAAATATAAAGTCCATCATGAAGGATGGAGTTCTCTCCTTTCTCTCTCTCTCTCTCTCTCTCTCTCTCTCCAGTTGCATTGAGCGATGTTGATGAAATCCATCATGGAAGGCAATCGTTTATCTGCACTCTTCTCATGTAATGGTCGATGAAACAGCTTGGATGACCCAGGCCTTTGAGGGTAAATTGCTGCCACCATGAGTCTCTGTTTGGTGTATATGCTTTTTGATAGAAAAAAAGCAAATCCAAGCTTTTGATTAACCATTTCTTTTTACACATTTCTATATATTCTGGCAACAATACGAGCTCTTGAAAATATATAATTTATTGCATCTAAAGTGGAGTTTATGTCTATCTTGGGTTTTTTTTTTAAAGGGTATTTACATACCTAGCATACAAATCTTAAATATTTACATATCTAACATCTAAAATTTAATTTTCTTTTTAGGCCAAAACAATATTTTGGATATATTTCATCAATGAAATAAACAGTGGCGATATTTATCGAATTTGCGCTCCAAATTCTCTGTATGGTTGTGTGATTTGGCTTGGTGATTAAATTTATAACATGGAATGCAATCTTATCCCTGTCCATGGTGTTTCAGGGATCTCAAATTTTCTCTTGCAATGGTGTCGCAGCTTGGATGACTTATGTTTCCACAAGTAATCACTTCATCCTTGTGCCATTGGTAGATAACATGTGGGTGTATTGATGGAGCTGAGACGAATTTAAGTCATGATTTCCCATTTTCTTTAAACTTTTCTATATCTTCAAGCAAATAGTTGGGGCGTTAAAGTGGATTGATGTTTGTAATTTAACCAAAGATGTAATCTGTATTAGTTTTCTTTTTTCTTTTTAACCTGATTTTAGATGTTGTTATCAATGGCTTGTCACCTGCGAGCAACTAATCTGTCATTGGGGTGAAGGAGAAATGGGACTTCATCTTAAGATGGCGCAGAGGTGAATCTTATTCTGTTTTCTTTCCATCCTTCGTGATGATTTTTATTTTCCCTAGGAATGATGCGTTGAGTAGTTACCTTGGTAATTTCCCTTCCATGTTCTCAATGCTGCTCCATATTTAATTTTCTTAACATGTCTTTTCAAATTCAAAGAGGGAATGTGAAATGAAATTAAGATGGGGTGTTTACATACATGGCACTCAATTCTTATGTATTTACGTTCAGCTTGGAAGGACCCTTGCTTTTGAGGGGTACTGCTTCCATGAATCATTGTTAGAGAACTGGTTGGTGGATATTCTTTTTGGTGGTGCAAAGGCGAATGTGAGCTTATTATTGTCCATTTCCTTCACACTTTTTCATATCTGCTAGCAACCATATGAGCAATTCAAGAGTGTTCAGACTATTGTAATTTAGTGGCTCTTGCTACCACGGTAGCACCTCGTGTGGTCAGCACCAATCTTGTTCGGGCAACGAAGCTGACACTCATTCACATTGGTTCATCCTGCTATGCCCCGGGCTTTTTGCTCTTCTAACAACAATGGTGGCCGGCCATTCGTCAAGGCCCCGGAATCCGCTGGACATCTCAGCGGCGGGATTGGATACCCGCATCAGATCGAAGTTCCATGTTAGTGTTGAAGTTCGTCTTGGTTTCATTTTTGTTGTTGAATGATCCAAATATTGTAAATAAATGTCTACTGCTTCACTCTCCCAAGATTTTTTATTTTTTTATGTTAGTGCCTATTTTTGTAAGTTGCGTGTGTTATGTTAGGTTTTATTTCTCTCGTTGATTTTTTGAACTTTCATTGCGAGAATCAATTTTCTTACAGAAAAGATATGTTGGTGCTGGATCCAAAATAGTCCATGGTTCACACCCAATGAATAGAGCATGAGAGGAGAGTAGAAATGTAGAAAGAGATAGTAGAGCTATAATCTCTAAATGAGCTGTAAAATCATGTAAACCTCTTCATTTAATGTTAAATCTTTTTATAAAGGATTTAGTACAGTAATGATTTACATTTTTACTCTCATTGAGAGAGTGTTTGCATTGGCGTATTTGTGATATTTTGCATGCGACGATTTATCACCCTGTTGTCTGCTGACTCTGTCGGCTAAGATTGCATTATCTCGGTCGGATGATCCAGCCTAGTTTTCTATCTTCTCTCTGGTAGTAGTCTTTGGATCTCTGCTGAATGGTCAAATATGCTTTGTGGAATTGGCTGGCCGGCTCTACCGTATGATGGGCTATCGCATTGAGCCTACTATTCTACAGTTAGTGGCCCGTATGCTCACCTGTCTTGTTTCCGAGCGAATGGTTTATACTCCGAACGCCTTTTTTTTTTTTTCGATCCTCTTTTTGTCTAGGTTGGTATTGGCCTTGCTCACTTGGCTTGTTCCGTTTGATGGGGTTCATGATTTTTTTGCAAGGGAACTGCCTCCATCGTATTTGTCTCGTATCTTCGTAAGATCAGTGCCTACATCTTTTTGATTAACAGTCAGGACGTGTTATTCATCTTTTAAAAAATAAAAAGAAAATGGATTTATATACTTGGCATTGAATTCTTATATATATATTTATTTAAAATATAAATTTGTTGTTTATTTCTGAAAATTCTTAGGGAAATTTACGTACATTACCACATGAGTTATATGTATTGACATGTCCGATAGCTAAAGTTTGATATATACAGTCACAACACTTTGTTGTCATCAACCTTCCAAATGCTAGAGGTTTTTTTTTATTTTTTATCAACTTCAAATTTTTTTCCCAAATACTAGAGTTTATGTAGTTCTGCTGTATTTATTTTGCAAAAATAGACTTTTTGTGCATACTTGTCCAAATGAATATAATGTGGGAATGGCAGTTGATTATTGAAAAGTTTCATCGCTATGAATTCCATGAGCCATGAGTCTCTCTCTCTCTCTCTCTCTCTCTCTCTCTCTCTCTCTCTCTCTCGCTCTCTAGGGATCTCTGCATTTCTCATGCAATAGTGGAGCAACTTGGACCAATGCTTCTGCAGGTAACCGCCGCTGCTAGTGTCAGTGGTAGAGAACACGTGGATGTTTTTTTCTTTTTGCTGCTTTTTAATTGAACTATGGAAATCTGAGCCAAAGAAACACCATTTTTGTCAGCTTTTCTATATCTCCTTGCAACCACCTGGGGGCTGGGGCCTTCCAGGGGGTTGTTTGCAATTTAGCTGAAGTTGTAATGTGTTTTGGTTTCTTTTAACCTGACTTTGAATTATATGTATACTTACATGCTTATCAGAACTCTTATTTTATGTATAAATTTAGCTGTGCTGCTTCATTCTCCAAATTGAACTAATTAATAATCAGAAACTTAGTTCTATTTGATTGTAATTTTTATCAGCTTTTTATGAAATTCTAGAATTTGTGAGCTTGAAAAGGTTTTTGGCTTATTTTTAAGGAAAAAAAAATCTGATTGCTTTAGAGGATGTATCGTAGGATGTATTACTACTATTAAAATTGAGACAAATTCTTTAATATCATTATTATTTTTTTTTTCCTTCTTTTTTTTTTTACGCAAACTAAAAATGCCAATTTTTATTTTTTTCTCATTATATGATATACCATTCCAAAATTTTAAGAAAACTTTCAGGTTAACTGAATGGTTAACTGAATGTATGCACAAAAATTGCTAGCTTGAATCATAAAGGGATTGAAATGCTGAGGATGATGACCGGACAAATGAAGTATTAAACCAAAGAGCATAATCTGAACCAGTCCATTTGACGGCTGTCCGCTCAATTGAGTCGACTGACAAACAATGTCGACGGATCCGGTCAGCGGACCTTGTTTGCGGTCCAAGCCACCTAGGCTTCCTGTAGGGTCAGCTGACCAAAAATATTCGGTTGACATATTTACCTCTATGGGAGCAATCTTAATGCCACTGACTACCTCGGTCGACCGAACTCAAAGCATCCTCTGATTGATAACCGTTGTGCTTCACCATTATTGTAAACCCAAATCAGATATTAAATTAGAACATTAATTGCATTTAGGACGGTTACCATAACCACTTCCTCATTTCCATAATTGTACAATTGGGCCCCTATAAATATGAGGTCAAAGGATGAATAAAGTTCTTTTCCCTCTAAACTCTCTATCTGCCCTAAGTTACGGTATTTTCAAAAGACAGTTTAGGATCCAACACCGAAAATGATTAATTGCTTGGGAATGGCCATCCTATTTTCAGGTAAGATATCTGTACATAAAATATTTGAATCCTCTTTTTTAATTTTCCTTGCCCCCATTTTCTTCAAGCCCATCCCATTAAAATTTTTATATATTGCCATCTCCATTTTTCCATGCAATTTTCTATCAATTTGTCACTAGAACTCATGAAAATATGTTGCAAACAGAGAGATGTTTATAATGGCAAAGGCTTAGGTCACAAAACGTCTAATCTTAATGTAGAATTAGGGTGCGTTTGAGCCAGCTTGTGCGGTTTAGGATAAGCAGTTTATCCTAACCCGCGGCCTGCATTTAGTGTAAAAATCCAACCGGGTTTTCGGATAAACGGGCAAAACGTGCGATCCAAACGGTACCGCGACGTTTTAAAAAACGCCCCCGCACTTATAAGCTGCCCCAAACGGGCCCTTAATGAATATAAGATCGGGTGTGGAAATCCTTACCTAAATTTTTGTCCTCACATTTAATTGATGGTTTATGATGCTTCACCCCTAGCCCATTTTGCTGCACTGGATTGTTGTCTCCATCTGGCAGGATGGGATAGATGAATTATAAAATTGTTCATTATGATCCTGAAACCAAAAGAGTAATGCTTCATAGTCTGCGACTCTTTTCTATTCTAAAGAAAAAACCCTTGCAATTATTGCATTTGCATATATTTAATGTTTTTTTCTCCGCAAGTTTCATCATTATGATTTCCAAGATGAAATCCATCATCGAGCAGCTTGGACGGCCCAATAATCCATGGGTAACCATTGAATCCTAGGCATCAGTGGTAGAGATTTAATAGGCGGTTTTGCTTGAAAAGATTGAGCTTAAGGTGAATCTGAACCTCCAGTCAGTTTTTTTCTCTCTACTTTTTTTTTTTTAATTCAACTTCATGCATCCAATGGAGGGAGGCCTTAGGGGCTGTGTGGTAGCTGGTTTTGTGGAACATTTATGCAGGATTTGACCTACTTCCTGTAAACTGCAAAATAAAAACTTTAAATTCTTCTATATGTTACGATGTTGTTATGACTTTGAAGTGTTATATATGTGAATACCAAAGTTCAGGCGTTAGATATGTAAATACATAAAATTTTGGTGGTGTGTATTAGGGTATAGGTTTGCATCATGTTCAAATTTGGGTTTGAGTCCATTTTAGAGGGCGTGAACTTCGATCGGCAGTCCTCGTATACTACAGGTTATTCACCTCATTATTTGTAATTTTGTCCAAAATGGATTTTTCAGCATGTTTCTGCCAATGTACATGTATGGTTCAGCGACATACGTTTGAATCATAAAATTGTTCAGTTTATATTCCGCAAGTCCAGAAGTGTAATGTTACACAATACATTTCCAACACCTAAACTTCAATTTTTACATGCCTTACACCTTACCTGGATATGAAAAGGTGTATTTCACTTTTTAAATTTTAAAATAGTGGCATTTTTTATGTGATACGAAAGTTGTGGGATATAAATGTAAAAAAGTAAAGTTTAGGTGTTAGATATATAAATAAATAAGAATTAGGTGGCATGTAAATGCTCCCAAATATAAAACTTCAGGTGCATCTTCAACAAAAGTAATGAATTACCAAAACTGTGAAATGTTTGTTTTTTTCTGCTGTTCATGGTGCTTAAAAGATATCTGCTTTTCTCATGCAATGATGATGGAGCAGTTTGGAAGATCCATTATTCTGCTGGTAACTGCTGCGTCCATTTGTCATTGGTAGAATACATGTGGATGTCCCCTCGGCTTTCTCTCTCTATGTGATTGGGGGATGCTGATTAAATTTAATGTGAAACGTTTTCTTTTTTGGCTGTTCATGTTGCTTCAAAGATGACCTGCTTTTCTTATGCAATGACGATGGAGCAGTTTGGAAGATCCATTGTTCTGCGGGTAACTGCTGTGTCCATTTGTCATTGGTTGAAGACATTTGGATGTTCCTTCAGGCATCCAGTTGGCCCCCCCTCCTCTCTATGTCATCGAGCGATGATGATTGGGGGTTATTGAGGCGTTATTGGAGTTAATGCCCCAATAACCTCCTCGGTTCCACTTTAATGTTTTTTAGGTGGGCCCGAGATAACACATGGCGGCATATTACTGGAGTCCGTACGTAGAGCTGCGTATGTGATCCGTATGGAATAATTTCTCAGAGAAATGGTGGGTCTTCTGCTTGCAGATTGAACAAAAGTGAATTTGAGCTGCCAATTGCTCATTTCATCTGCTGTGGGCCTGCGTTCCAGCCCTCCAATTTACCTACCAGCCACCTGTTCTCCCTTCCTGAAAGCAGCCGTTGTTGTGCAGGCTCCACACCCTGCCATCCCTTCCTCTGCATCAATTTGTGCTGTCCAGACCAACTATAGCCTACCCATAGCCACCAGGCCTTCCCCTCCCGTTCCACTTTGCCGACGCCTCCACCACTCTCGGATTTTCCCTTCCGACCCTAGCTGGATATTAGGGTTGTTGCAATTTTCTTTTCAGTTTGTGTGTTGCTGTAATCCTTAATTCTGTGATTAATAAAAGCTACTTTCATTTCTGCCGAGTTATGAACTATTTCAGGCATCATTATAATCGCATTTCTCCTCCGTTATGTATTAAATCTCAACTCAGTAACTCCTGTCTGTCAACATATTTATGTTTTATACTGTCATTTTGATATTTTGGCGAGAATTTGAAAAATAGCTGCAAGAGCATGCTAGTTTTGATGTAGCAATGCTTCAAATGCTATCTATGTAATTGTTCCTACTTCATGCAGACATAGGACAAGCTGGAACTCTCCAGCTGTGTGTAAATACATGAGCACTTCTACTTTCCAAGGAAAGCCCTAGAATTTGTAGCCCAATAATCCTAAAACCTGATGTCACGAGGATTGAGACGATGCTATCCTTCGAAGAATGCTATGTGCTTTAAGTGATGAATATGGAGAGTCTCACTCTCAAAGCCATACCGTTCTTTTGTCCTTGGTTTGTGATCACTTTGGTTTTTCTTAGCTCTCTCTCACTCTCTCTCTCTCTCTCAAACACACACTTAATTGGGCTATCATGATGAGATCCTTCATGAAAGGCTTTCCACTCTATGGCTTGGTCTGATTGCATTGAAGAATGCTCGAGTGAGTGTATTGCTGCTGTCTGTCTCCTGTGATGGCGTTTGTGCAGCTTGGATGGCCCTTCCATCCGTGGGTAGCCTGTGCTGTTGTCCGTTTTGGTGAAGATGAATTTAGTGGTTCGGCATTGTGATGAAACTATTAAGGTGAATCTGAAGTCATGAACAAGATTTTCTTCCTTTTTCCAAAACAAA